TACCAGTGCCCCGAGTGCGAGAAGAGCTTCAGTCAAAGGACGACCCTGACGTCTCACCAGCGGATCCACACGGGGGAGAAGCCCTACACCTGCTCCGTGTGCGGAAGGAGCTTCAACCGGAAGAGCAACCTCAATTCGCACATGAGGCTCCACATCAACGCGCAGAGGGAGGAGATCCTGTCGCACTTGAACCCTTAGGCCTGCTTTGGAAAGCCACGTGGCTGAGGCTGCTTGGAATTGTGGAAACCTGTGGAGTTTGGGGGAGGAGAATCTGGAGGAGAACAGGAAGTGGGGTGTAGTGGATAGAAGGCGACGTGGCTTCAAACCCTCAGTGGGGGATTTTATGGGAACGGTCAGACGCTCCTGGAACAGCTCATGTATCTTAAAAACCTTACTGGGGTCACCAAAAGTGTTAAATTGGGCAAGAAATAATTGTAATGCTGGAGGAGAGCTTTGCAGGTATGCAGGACAGCCAGAAAGACAAACGAGTGGGTCCCAGAGCAAATCCAGCCTGAATTCTCTCTGGAGGCAGAAATGTTGAGACGGAGGCTGTCCTTCTTTGAGGACATCCTGAGAAGGCAGGTTTCTCCAGGGGGGGCGGGAGGGGGAAAAACATCATGCTGGGAAGAGGTGGAAGGCAGTAGGAAAAGAGGAAAAACAGAGATGAGATGGATCGACTCCTTAAAGGAAGCCACCGCTTAGGATCTGCAAGACCCTGAGCAGGGCTGTGAAGGACAGGCCCTTTGGGAGCTCACCAGTCCATACCTCCGGCATAAGTTGGAAGCGGCTCAGTGGAAGGGAATGACAACAGGAGCCGTATATTCGAGGTGATCTACACATCCCCAAGCTGTGTATATAAATAACGAGATGGGTGGAGAAGTGGAAAGCGGTTGGCAATCGTAACCCAGAGGGGAGAAAATCCAAATAGGAAGGCACGTGGGAATTGCAGAGAAGGGATGGCACACGCAGAACAGTTTTTTGTTGTGGTTGAGTGAGAGGGGAAGCCCCCCCAGGTCTAAAACAGGGATGGGGGGGTATGTGGGAAAATTCTCCTGCAGTCCTGAAGAACCACCAGCTCTGGTGTTTCCTGCGGGGCCTTGAAGGGCCCCCTCCCAGGTGATAAATCAGATGTCCAGTAACCCGAGGGCTTGACCGGCGGGTGGTTGAATGGCCTCCGGCAGAGACAGAGATGCTGAATGAGTACCTTGGTGTCTTCGGGGTGTGTGTGTGTGAAGCGATCGCGGCAGGAAAAAGATTCCCCCTATATTTTACAACTGCACCGAAGGGCTTCACGTGTGCGCAAACCTGGGCGAGTGAAGCTTCGGGGGTGGGGGGGCTCCTGCAGACGTGTTTTGTCAATTAACATAGCAGATTAGGTTTTTCAGGGTTTCCCAGGTAGATAATAAACAGAAGTGGTTTTTCCTTTCCCTTCCTCTAGGGGCGCTGTGGGGTGGTGCAGCTGGCCCAAGGCCGCCCAGGCTGGCGCTTCTCTCCCAAGGGGGACCCGGTGGAGGAATCGAACTCGCAACCTCTCACTCACTGAGCTGCAGTGATTTGGTGTACGGCAGACTCGGCTACGAGTGGCCCCCCCATTCCATGGCTGCATTGCAACTCCCATCAAGCTTAGCAGGGGTTTTAAAAATGGGATTTGTAGTCCCAAGAGTTTCCTCATGCATTGCTCAGCCTGGTGGGCGCTTCTGGGTCAGACAGGGGTTGCACTTAATACGGCAGTGAAGCAGGTGTGCCAGCTGTGCCCTTTCCTTGAGCCGCCAAGGAAGCGTCTGGCGAAAGTGGCATGCGTCTCGATAACACCCTGCCTGGATTACTGCACTTCACGCTTTGTGGGGCTGCCTTTGGAGATTGTTCAGAAGCGAATCACAACTGCTCCACTGGCTGCCGGCTGAGTTCAAAAGCGCTGGCGATGCTCTGTGATCTATACGGTTTGGGTCCCGGCTATCCGAAGGGCCCTGTCACCCCTCTGTGGAGCCCCTCTCTGTGTTTTAAGATCAGGGGAGGCTTCTCTCTTGGTCTCACCAGCCCCACTGGCTCGTTTGGCGAGGATGAGTCTTCTCTGTGGTTGCTCCCAGCCTGTGGAACTCCCTTCCCCAAGACGTTAGACTGAATCCTTCATCTTGTCCTTTCACCAGCCAGCAAAGGCCTTGTTTTTAATTGACAAGATTAAAGAAAGGCCATTATGCTGTTTTCCAACACACACAGACACACACAAAACACACACACACTCTTCAAGTGCTTTTAAACGGTAGATTTTAATCTTGTGGATTGTTTCTTAATATTATTATGGCTTAGCTGTGCTTTTAATTGTCCTTGTGCTGTTTTAATTGATTGTGAGCTGCCTGGGGTTGTGTGGAGGGGGGAGGGCGGGGAAGGGGGCTCATAAAATTGATAAGGAAATAAATAAATGGATAAAGTGGAAAACCTCCCATGAAGCGTGTCTAGATGAGCGGCGACATGGGAGCTGAGCCAAACCGGGACAGGATCCGTCTCGTGAGTGGAAGAATCGTGAGTTTCTCATCCAGGGGGTGTGATGCTTTGGGAGGGTGTCGAGCACCCCTCTTCTGCCCCTTTCTTTTCGGCCAAGGAAGCTGATTAATGGGGAGGGGTTCAGGAGCGGTGTAGATGATTAAACCTTGTCCTTTTGCAAAAGATGGGTAGCCCCTTCCTCTTCAGAAGGTTTTTCTCAGGACCCAGCAGGGTATGAAAGGGCTTGAGGGGTGCCGTTCATGGCTGTGCTTCTGGTTCCCCCCCACACACACACACACAAAAAAACCCACCTTGGTCTCTATTTAAGGATCCCTTCCAGGTCTACAGTTGTGAGATGATGGCGGTGATGATGATGATAGCCACAATATTCTTTCTTTTAAAAGGGGGGTGGGTTAGGGTTTGAGAGGTGGAAAGACTTCACTGTGGCTGGCTTGATTTATTTAAATATGGACTGAGCTTCAATCTAGAGACCAGCTGACCGTAGGCGTTTATAGGGTTCCTCTCCCCTTCATGCCATCCGTGTGGCTTCTCACACGTGAAGGACGCTGGTGTGTGTGTGTGTCTATGAGAGCAGAAGTCTCTCGCAGCCCTGGTACACACCCCACCCCACCAGCTCACTACACAATACCTAGACACACAGACACACATTTCAGGTTATTGCTTTCTTATGTCCTTTATTATCATTTTAAGCTGAAGTTTACTGTGCAATTTGATGTGCAAACGCAGGACAGGAAGGTGCCGCTTGGGTTGTGCTTCCATCTGCTGACGGGGTCAGTCTGTATCTGCTCACTGTTCTGTCACTAAAAATATTTATAAATCGCCTTACGGTCTTTTGAAAAGACCATCCAGCTAGCAAAAGTGGAAGGCAGCAGGAACAGGAGGGAAAGCCTGCATGAGATGACTTGAGTCATCAGGATGACTCTTCCTCCTCTTTCTGGACAGTTTGTAATCGGGCAAAATCCTGACACAAAAAAAGAAGACAAAAACAGCTGGCCCCTGAAAGACTTGTTACATATTAATGTGAGCTTTTCATGGACAGGTCCACTTTGTGGGATGTACTGAAAATGAATGAAATGTTGCATGAACGATCAGACACCTGCTAACTATTTGTTGGCTCTTGAAGGTTACATCTATCTAATTTCTGGCTTCCCTTGTTTTAGGGCTCTGTTGTAACAATTCCTCAGGAGACAGAAAACACACCAAGCCTGGACAAAGATGGGGGGGGGGAGAGAAGAGAGAGTGGTGTGTATCCGTGTGGGGGGGATGTTGAACACTGGGGATTCACTTAAAACTCAAGAGGGAGAGAGAAAGAGAATATTAAATATAAAAGAGAAGAAGATGGCAGAGGGGAATCCCGTGCGTTAACGTAAGGAATACGGAGAGGTTTTTTTACCTTTGAGCCTTGTGATGAGAGACAGGCTTGTTAGTTGTGAAGAAAATAACAGTGGCAGTAGATGACAACAGAAATATTACATTTGGTAATGACTTTAAAAACTTAGGCTTATATTCAGTTCATTTATATGCATGTCCATCATGCATATTAATTTATTTCAACTGTTTCCCTCTGTATTCTTGATTTGTATGAGATTCTGTTTTAAAATAGTGACTTTCCAATCTTCCACAGTGTCTTGGTAGATTGAAATGATTGGAGACAGTTTTCTGTGTATTGTGGTTTCTTATATGAGATTTATGACTGTTGACCCATTTTCGTAGAGATTGTCCTGTGACTGGCCCCAGATCTGCAGAGACGCTTATCTGTGAAGACGGCAGATAAAGAGGAATCTTTTGAAAGTACTGTTGACTCTCCCATTTGCTTTGCAATTGAGGAGCTAATAGGAAGCGGTTTCCTAAATGCCGCTCATCCTTTATACGACAGTACAGCTCAGGGACCCGTGTCAAAAAAATTCCAGAGTTACTCACTGTGATGGGAACTGCCTGAAGCTGAAAGAAGCAAAAGACTCTGCCCCAATGCACATTATGCAGCTTGTTGATTTATTTTCCTTCTTTTTTTTGCAATCTGCATACTTTGGCAGATTTCAAGGTGGAGTTATATTTTTAATAGCAGAAGGTTGGGGC